GCAGTCGTTGCCGTGGGACTTGCACTGCGTGTCGTCGCAGAGCGGCGGCGGCGGAGGAGGAGGAGGAGGGCGGAGAGGGGCGAGCGGCGGGGCGGGCGGGCGAGGCGGCGGGAAGGCCGGGTCCGCGACGGTGAGGGCGCACTCCCTTGCCGCCTTGAGGCCGCGCGGCAGTGTGCCGGTGAGGCGGTTGTCAAAGAGCTGGAGCGCGTCGAGAGCCCGCAGCAGCGCGAGCGACGCCTGCGGACATGTCGTGGACATGTCGTGGACGTGTCCGGGACGTGTCACAGAGCCCGCAGCAGGGCGGCGACGCCGGGAGGGTGCCAGAGAGCCGGTTCTGCGAGATGCGGAGCTGCGAAAGGCGGGTCGCCGTGCCAATCTCCGGCGGGACGGTGCCTAGAAGGTTCCTAGAAGGTTCCTAGGAGGTTCCTAGAAGGTGCCAATCTCCGGCGGGACGGTGCCGGAGAGTCCCTTGCATGCCTGCACCTCGGGGCAGCTCGTGCTCGTGGGGCAGGGCCTGTTCACAGCTCTTCATTCACAGCTTTTCATTCACAGCTCGAGGACCACAGCTCGTGGCGCAGGGCCTGTTCACAGCTCTTCATTCACAGCTCTTCATTCACAGCTCGAGGACCACAGCTCGTGGCGCAGGGCCTGTTCACAGCTCTTCATTCACAGCTCTTCATTCACAGCTCGAGGACCACAGCCCGTGGGGCAGGGCCTGTCGGCGGCGTAGCTGGCGCTGCCCGCGCAGAACTGGCTCTGCCGCAGGTCGAGTACCTGCAGCCTGTGTGCCATCCCAATCCTACCAGGTCGAGACGCCGACATCAGGGCGGGAGGACGGTGCTGAGGGAAGAGTCTTCAGAGCACCGCGTGAGTCCGAGCGGGGGGGAGGCGACTACAGTGAATACAGCGGGGTACAGGGGGTACAGGAGCTGAACACAGTTGAGTCTACGCCCCTCTCGAGTGCTGGTCGGGAGACTCGCACAAGATCACGTCCGCTTCTAGGACCCCAAACGAGGGCGGGATGGAGCCCGAGAGACCGGCCTGCGAGGAGGGGGGGGGGACTACACAGACATCAACGAGGGGGGAGGTCACACGGGGCATCGAGCCGTCCCGTGCGTCTGTCGAGGGAGACAGCGACCGCGGCTTGAGTACAGCGGAGTGCGGCTGAACGCGCGTCTCCTCTCGAGCGAATGTCGGAATGCGAGAGCAGTGTCGGTGTGGGAGTGTGGGATGGGTACGCGCATGCCTGCTTGGCCGAGAGCTCCTCGAGTGTGCCCGAGGTGAAGAGGGAGGGGGGGAGGGTGCCCGTGATGTTGGTCTGCTTGATCTTGAGCCGTCGGAGCCCGGAGGCCGCAGAGGCGAGGGCGACCGGCAGCGTGCCCGATACGGCGGTCCGCTCGACGTCGATCTCCTTGAGGGACGTGAGGAGCCCGAGCTGCGCAGGCAGCGTCCCTCGGAGTCCGTGGATGCTTCCCCACTCGATCTGGCTGATCTCGCCCTCTTCGCACGAGACAAACTCCTTCTCGCAGCACGGGATGGTCGGGTTGAGCCACGACCGCCCGCCACTCACCAGCGCCCGCGGCTCAGCCGGCGGCGGCGGCGGAGGGCTCGGCGGCGGCAGAGGGGGCGGCGGAGGCTTCGGCGGACTCGGCGGCGGCGGAGGCGGCCGAGGAGGCGGGGACGGCGACGGGGGAGGCGGCGGCGAAGGTGATGGCGGAGAGCTCGGCGCCGGCGAGGGTGGCGGCGGAGGAAGAGGAGGCTGAGGCGGCGGCGGCCGAGGCCACCCCTGTGCTGGCGCAACCTGCACCTGCAGCCGCCTCCCCCGACCAGACGTTGGCGCCGGAGCAGCCGGCAGAGGAGGACTCCGAGGAGGAAGCACGGGCGGCCCTGAAGACGGCGGCGGAGGCGGAGGTGGAGGCAGAGGCGGAGGCAGAGGCGGTGGCGGTGGCGGCGGCGAGCACAGCCACCAGGATATGCACGGCGATCCCGGCGGCAGCAGCGGGGGGGAGGGGGTCGGAGTGGGCCGACCGGGTGGCGAGGGCGGCGAAATCGGTGGCGTGGAGGGCGGTTGCGGAGGCTGGGGCGGAGGTGGTGACGGTGGCGGAGGGCGGTGGCGGAGCGAGAACGGCGGAGGAAGCGCTAACTGCTGCTTAAAGGACGCGAGCTCGTCCCCCACGACGTACTTTTTCCAGCCTTGCCCGCCCAT